GATTTTGAAAACGACCTCCATTTTAAGATCAGGCCACAGCGTTTCGATTTCTTTGAGTTTTTCAGATTTTTTTCGGGGTGGCCTAATCTTAAAATGGAGGTCGTTTTCAAAATCTACGGCTCCGGAAACATAAAAGTAGACCTTTATATTGGATAGATTCTAAAAACTTAAATAAGTCAAAACGCTGTGGCCTGATCATAAAATGGAGCTTATTTTCATAATTTGCACCTCGGAAAACAGTACACCCTGGAAGAATACATCCTTGTATCGAATAAATCAAAAAATCTTAAATAAGTTCGAAACGCAGTGGCTCTTAAACGTATTCTTAAAATGGAGGTTATTTTAAAAACTAGGTACAGGACAGCATAATACTAGTCCCTAATAAATCCGAATAGGTACAATAAATCGATATCCGTAAGTGAAAATTCTACTTAGGAGAGCATAATAATAGACTTTCATATTGGAGGGGAGGGGAGAAGGCCATTATTAAAAAAAATATAAAAATTTACAAAAAATTAAAACATTAATTTGAAATGAAAACGGTTGAATTTGAATCGGAAAAGGTTTAATTTGAAATGGAAACGGTTGAATTTGACTTGGAAAAAGTTTAATTTGACCTGGAAAAGGTTGAATTTGACTTTGAAAAGGTTAAATTTGACTTGGAAATAATTGAATATGACATAGAAATATTAAACTGAAAAAATCTAAAATGTTAAAATAAATGGATATGCAACCGCGTTATCAAATTTTTTTCAAAAGCTATGCCTTCGATAATATAGTAAGTGGCCTTCATTTCGAAAAAAATGAATTTCGAAAATTGACAAAAATTCGAAAGTTGAATTTGAAATGGAAAAGGTTGAATTTGACTTGGAAAAGGTTGAATTTGAAATGGAAAAGGTTTAATTTGACTTGAAAAAGGTTGAATTTGATTTGGAAAAGGTTGAAATTGACTTGGAAATGCTATATATATATAAGGAAGTTGTCAGCAAAGAGGAAAGGAATATAACTATGGATGTTTTAATAAATTCAGAATTTGGGAGTAGGCTGAAGAAAAGTTCTGTTTGTCAGTTTTTAGATTCACTGTCTTTGGTTGAAGCTGGATGTGGAGGGTTTCAGAAATGAGTCGTTTGTCATGGTTGAGAACTGTGGCAAGGATGGATGTTTTGTCGAAATCAAATGTATGATTGAGGGAGAGAGAATGTTCGGATAATTGGGAGGCGGTAAAATTACGAGAGGATACAGAATATTTATGTTGGGTTATGCGGTCTTTTAGGAGATTTTTGGTTTCACCAATATAGGATGAAAAACAATTGGGGGTAGAACATGGAATACGGTAAACGACATGAGAGTGGTGTGAGAGAGGAACAGGATCTTTTAGGGATGTGTATAATTTAGAGAGTGTGTTGTGAGATTTGAATGCAAGTCGTAAGTTAGGGTTAGTAGATCGTAAAACTTTGTTGATGTTGTCTGAAAGGTTAGGAATATAAGGTAGAGATCTGTACATAGGGGCTGAAATGGGTTGTGGAGAATTAGTGGAAGTTGAGATTAAGGAAGAGCGATTATTGTGGTCTGTTATAAGTTTGTTAATGACATGGAGAGGAAAATTATTGTTTGAAAGAATCTGTTTTATGCGTTTGATATTGGTAACATGAAATTGGGGGTCAGAGAGGGAGAGACTACGGTGGATGAGATTTTTCGCAAAGTTAATTTTTTGGTGGTAGGGATGTTTAGAATGGAAATTTAGGATTCTGCCAGAGTAAGTTGGACTACAGAAGAAGACATCTTCCAGATGTTCCACGAGATGAAGTCATCACGGCAGTCCAACGGACAGTATGCTGCAACACTCGTAGCTCACTACAACCGTATCACGAAGAAGATGCGGGAAACAGCTGGCGCTCCGGAGGTAGAAGCGAAGATGGCCTTCTTGTCCACTATACTGAAGGTGCAACTGGCGAAAGAAACTAGAAAGAAGGATGGCTTACCCCGGGAACGCTCATTTGGGGGAAGGTTAAGAAAAAAATAGAGGAAGAAAAGCGCAAAAGAGTGGCACGGGAAAATCTCAAAGTGAAGGGGCTAACAGGGGGGTTGAAAATCAGGTCCATTGTGTATCGCAGATTAGGCTCGAATAGGGGAAAGGAAGTGCGGAGATATGAGGGTCCATTCAGGGTGATAATCATTAGAGAGCATAATGTGGTGACGATTGAGAGTGTTAACGGACCAAAAAAAAGGACGGTTCACATAGAACAGTTAAAATTCCCAATTTCAGAGCCACAGCAACCTTAGAACTAGAGTGCCCTCGTCTGCGGAAAGAAGATTTGTTTTTGTTTTTGTATGTTATGTATGGAGGTTATCTTTTATTTTATTTTTGTTGTTTTTGTATATAGTGTTCTTACATAACTTTGTGTATGTATCTAAAGGAAAGTGCAAGTGCAGTGCAATACGTCTTTCATTTGGAGATTTCATTTGTGAGAAAAATGTAAAAAGGAAAGTGTGTCTTATTTTTTTTTTATATATAAGGAATATTTTTGTTTGTGTTTCATTGGATTAGGTTGTAAGTACTGAACACTCCGTACCTTTGTTACAGTGTGGGCAAGAAGACCTTGTCGTTTTTCCATATAAGCGTTTTATTTTTGTATTTTATGTATTTTTATTTTTTACTAAGTTTACGAAGAGTATCCGTAAACTGGTGGGGAGGAGTTAAGGTATGGAGCAGGACAGTATTAGCGTTAATACCAAAAGCATTGATGTAAACAATCTCAGAGTGTATATATAGAGGATTATAAGGAACAATAAAGCAGTCTTGATTCCGACTTCATGCATTTTATTTCGTGAACCTCTTCCTTTTTTTTAATTGTTTAAAGTCCGTTACACTTAACTTTATATACAGGCTTTGTAATCAGCTTCTTCCCTCCTTCCTTTCATTCCTTTTCTCTGTTTTTAACTCTTTATTATATTATACATTGTCTGTACATCTTGATAGACTTTACAATATCTCAATTTTCTATCTAACTACTCCATTCTCAATGTCTTAATTTTACTATTTATTTTCATTTCTTATATAACTTCATATTTCTTTTTTATGGTTTACATTTTATTCTAAGATTCCCATTTTAACACTTATGTCACCCTTTTTGATTATGCTTACTTCATCATTCCACACTTTGTAACGGTTATTATTATTTATCTCTTAGTTCTTACTATTGCCATTATTCTAACAATTTCATTTTACTTTATTTTTTTTTTTTACCATAACTACTTATGTCTCTCATACCTTGTTATCTGGTTATTATCTTAGCCCTGATGAAGGCCTGAATTTCAGGTCGAAACGTCGGCATATGTAAAAATAAATATTATCATTTATTTTGGCCTTCTTTTTTGACTGACCACCCCAACTATTCTTCTCTTCATTATCCACGACAGTCAACCATTTACCAATTATAAATGAATAACAGTTTAAAAGGTCTGTGATAATTATATCTGACTTATCATACCGACACTATGACTTCTGATTTACCAGTCAACTTTCACCGAATATTCTTGTATTTTTGTAGTGTAAAAATACATTTTTTTAAACCTATTAGTACATAATGTGAGCAGTACTAGGGAAGGCTAACTGACTGTGTAGTCAAGCCAAAGAGATTTTATGCCATATCGATTAGTGATGCTACATGGTTAATTTTTTTAAATCCTGTTTAAATGTTAAACAAAAAATAGTGGAAAATTGGAGGTCTTGAGAACAAAACTCTTTTAAAAATAAGGACAAGTTCTCAATTTACATAATGTTGTATTACATGGGACTTTTGGACGATGAATTATTGGAGAGACTGACAGAGAAATTCACAGTTAACCCTTAGACTGCGGACGGAATACATGCCTTACGTTAAGAGTTGGGTTACTGGTGCAGACGGAATATATGCCTTTCTGGTAGTGTCTTTGGCCAATGGTGCGGCCGAGATATATGCCTTCCCACCTGGGCCATCAAAAATTTGACCATCACCATCTGATTTTGTATGGCTATCTGATTTTGTAAAAGTTGAATAAAAACATTAAAATGCATTTTTGAAAGCTAAGATCTTGCAGGGTGACTCAAAATAGCATTTTAAACAAATTCATGCAAAAAAAAATCTTTTTTTTTTACATCTTTGTGGATTTCAGGATACAAAGTATGGTAGAAGCCCGCGAATGAGCGCTCCCGCAGTCAAATGGTTCATGTTATATTTTATAATGTTTTACTTTAACAAATCTTGTAGAATAAAAGTAATACTAAAATTTATTTTAGAGAAATCAATTTTAAGATTCCTCCCCTCAAAAAATATAAACAATTAAAGAATTTTTAAATATTTATTGTTTTGAAGAGAGAATATATTACCTAAAAGGGTATAAGAAAGTCTCTTATCAGTACACAAATAATACAAAAATTATTTCTCACATAATATCTTGTTTGAAACAATTATTTCATTTGTTAAAAATTTCAAGGACATTTTTAATCTCCGTTACTTACTTATCTGAACATTTCGACCCATATGGCTCATGGCTTGTCTTGAAGTTTATTTAATATAGTTATAAATAATTAGGGTTATATCTATAACAGTAATATCAAATTTGTAGTTCATCTTTAACATTGTAAAACTTATTACTATCCTATTTTAATTCAAATCTATGCATTCCTTCTTGTAACTGCCTGACAATAAAGTGATTTGGGAATAGCTTGAATGCCAATAGAAAAAAATTAAAATCTAAAAAACAATAGTAAGATAATTTATAATTCTGTTTCATTAAATTATAAAATGAAAACAATACTAGTTAATCATAATAAAGATACCTAGTAATATTTAATAACCAAGTTCAACATTAGATCTACCGTTTTCGAAATAAATCAAACAGAAATTGACCCAGTAATACGTAATCATTTATTTATGAAACCAATAATCTATTAATGTTACAATAAAACATTAATATAATTGTAATAAAACTCATAAAGAAATTAATGAATTACTCACCACATAGAATTCCATAGAACACAGGGAAACCATAAGGCTACTCCAATTTCAGCTGTTCTAAACACTAAGTTCATCCAGTTTCTTTTCTGAACGGGAAATCTAAAAAACAAAAACCAAATCCACATTTTTTTATTTCATAATCATTCAAATTTATTCAATAAATAACTTAAGCTGAGAGGCAATGACTGACAGTATCGTGTTTGGCAGCCATTAGTGTAACACATCACTGAACAGAAGCCATGCCTCAGTCCCCACCACACCTCTGAAACACATTCTTATTTAAAGATTTTAGATATGAACCTTTTTTTATTATTTAAAAATCTCAATCTTATATGAGTTTTTTATCACTTAATTTCTACTGCAGCTCAAATTTAGACATTTTTTAAATGAAGGTACCCTATGGCACTCACAACTAATAGATAGTAAAACCTAGAATTTAATTTCTTTATAAATCTCCACATCTAATTCAAATGGGCAGCCAATAAAGACAGATTTTGAAGGTATGGCTGATCAATGCCTATAGGCTAGCAATACATACAGATCATTTTCATTTACACATAAATCATGGAAGATAAGTCACTTCAAAGGGAGTATGGCCCAAAAGTGGATCAGATCCTGAAGATTCAGTGAAAACTGTGTCAGAGAGTGAACTCTAACACAGTCTTTACCCAGGAGTCAGCCCAACCTGTCTAATTAAATTAATCTCCAAATGAGGCTGCGAATAACCCTACATCATTGCAGTGCATTGTGCAGAATACTCCTGCAATACAAGGTGAGGATATTGATATTATTCTAATCCAAGAACCTTTAATGACAGGATTGTGGAATTGGGAATTTCAGGCTATGGAATAATTTCTGTATACTCCAATCCCAGGACCTATATTCTGTATTAAAAAAATCACTAGAATTACTGCCTCTTTGGCAACTTTGTTCTAGATATTGGGCAGCAGCCAGCTAAACTCCACCAGGAGACATGAAAAATAGGGCATCTAAGAGTTTAGTGATCCTACTCAAAAATTGGACTATATTGGTCCACAATATTTTATGTGTCAGCCATTAAAATAAACAAAAAGGTGGGATTCTTCTGGAACATATAATTAATAATAATTTAGACATATAGGACATATAGGTGGGACATTTAGACATAAAGGAAACTTAGATATATATCAGCGAAAAACCTACCTTCTGTAATAGGTTAAGATCAGAGGTCATATATATAATGTTGGCCTCTAGTCAAGTCACATCAAGAGTGGTAAACTGGTGTATGTATCACATGTATATATATATATAAATATATCAAATTCAATTTGTCTGATAACATTTTAACATGTGAGGAGTTCAGAAAGTCTATGGACTGAGAAGTGTACCTCTCATACTTACTCATAATTAAGAGAAATGCGAGTGCAGTCCAAAAGTTGTCTGCAAAACCTGACAACTGGAGTGCCTTAATTCATCTTTAACAGATGCTATTAAAAACACATACTGTAGCAGCAATAAAATTCACACTAAAATATTCAACAGGAAAGTGTCCTGTTGGAACAATGATTCAGCTGGGCAAAGGGCACTTACAAAAAGGTTGTTCAATGCCGCTAAATCTAGCAAATGAGATACCTACAGGACAGCTCTAAAAGAGTATCACAAGTCTGTAAGAAGAGCCAAAAGACGGTCTTGAAGGAAGTTCTGCCAAGAAGTAAACAACATACTTACAGTATGTCGAATTAAGAAAATACTTTCCAAGAAGAAAAATCAAGGATTACTGGCCACACTCAAGGTTAATGGTAACTACACTACCAATGAGGGGGAAATCGTGAGAGCGCTTGCACAAGCACATTTTCCTAACTGGAGCACAATGGAGCAGGTTTCTACTAGTGACACGGCTGGGAGAGAAGCACTGGGATCTCCCGGAGACCTGCTTTGGCTTCCACATTAGGGGAAAAAAGCATGACTCAGAGTCGCCAGGGTGAATATAAATATTGTATATAGGTATGAATGTGTTTTATTTATTTTAATTTCATTTAGCTTTTATCTATTATTTATTTTTTGTATATATAAATATTAATTTTTTTATTTTATTTTCTTTATTTCTTTTTCCTTATTATCTATATTTTAGTTATTATTTGTATGTACATATTGTGTGAATGATTAAAGTAGCCCTAATATTAATGCCCTTTAACATGGCAGAATGTATTAATATTCAATTAATAAAAAAAAAAAAAAAGGCGTGAACATTAGAGCTCCTCACTAAGGTTCTATTTTCCACTTATTTTTAATTTTAAAAAATAGAAGGGATTAAATTGTTTTATTAGTGTTAAATAGAGAGAAAAAAAGCCTCGAAAATTATTACCCAATGGTTTATTATATTCAAATAGTTTCAATATGAATAGTGTATCCACATGAACGACTTTACCTACTCCATTGGAAAACATTTATACGCAAAGATTAGAACGTTTAAAAGATATTTATTTAATAATATATCTTATCAACAAGCTATGTAGATAATTATAAAAATTGTCACACCAGAATTAGGACTTTACAGGAAGGTTTGAGATATAAATTTAATAAACCGATGCAGCGCCTAAACTGATGAACCTATTTTAATGAAAGATGGCCAGTCTTCTCCTCCAAGAACTTTAAATTGACGTCTATAATAAACTTCACCCAAAAGAAGCTGGAAAAAATAATTAAGACATTAACATTGGATATCCGAAAAACACAAAAATTATTAACTTATTTGATGATATTGTATATAACCATTCGGAAGTATACTAAATTAACTAAAAAATCAACAAAAAAAAATCATTAAATCGGACGATTTGGTGAAAAGATACGTTGTTCTAAATATTTACAAAATGTTCAAAAGCAAAGCTGACCTTTGTTTTGTTTTAAAGTAGCTGTACGACGGATCATTGTAATAACTGGAGGGATTTCGATGAAAGTTTTTTTATCATTTAGGAAATTTAAATGTCTTCAAAATATGTTCTTACCCAAAAAGAGGAAAAAGTGCATACTTTTCGATTTATTCATAAATGTAATTTTTAATTCATCAAAACTCCTTTTCAGGTCCTTTTTCGAGGAAGTATGTTATAAACATAAATTTATAGTGTTTAATAAGGAATACTTTAGGAAAGTTTTTATTAATACAATTACAGCCGTTTTAGTGCTGTAGTCTATTTTAGGAAAATGGGTTTTTCCGCCGCCATCTTGAAACAAAATGGCAGCTGGTGATGAGACCCCTGAAAGGCATTTCTACAACAACAACTTAATATAGTTACTAAATCAACCTTCCAACTTTGTTAGAAGGGGCTGTGGAGATCCGAAATACTTTAAAAACAGGGAAAAAAGTGAAAAACGTTCTAACATGCGGACATTTTCCAAAGTTTAATATTATTGTTCTGCCTGGAAACCAACTCTATATACCGAATTTCAGCTATTTTGGTCAAATAGGGGAAGCTGAAATGTAGTGGGGAAAACAAAATATATATGTAACTGACATCTCTAAAAATTGCAGAATCGTAATCGAGAGGCTCCAAAACGGATCAAAAGCGCAAACCCGCCTTCCACTAATGACTTTCTATACAGTGCAAATTATTTCTGAAGGAAAATATACAAAAAAAATTATCTATTCAAGAGGAAAGAAGCAAATGAGTGTTCATGATATTTTAGTATCAAATAAAATAGACAAAGTTTGCCGATTCCGAGAATTTTTGTAAATAAAATATTTGTGGGTTACGGTGAGATGAAGCTATTCACAAAGTTCTACGCGGATGTTAATAATTTCATAAAAATGGGTCTGTACCACGGACTATAAGAGGTATTCCTTTGAGGAGCCAGAAGAAACCATAATAGGTACTATTTTAAGCATTGGTGCTGGTCTTGGCATTAAGCTGTCTGGACAAACTGGACAACTCAATGCGATTCAGGCTTAAACAGGAAGGTACTCCAGGTACATTGCCTTCAAGTGCAAAAGATTCGAGAAGCCAAGAAGAATTAGTTTAGGATCGCCAATTATGGATGATGGTGCTAATTTTCTTCGGTCGATCAATAAAAATAACGCCCACGATTTGATAAAGTTTTTGAATGACATAAAAGTAGTTATATAATAAAAGTTGCCTCTTATTCTCATTTAATTGTTATGAAACTACTGCTACCTCAGTTTTTAACTATTAATCTTTCTAGTTCAAGTTCTATATAAGTTATATTCAATGATCATATATCTAGAAATATTCAGTTTAATTTCATCTTACAATCAATAATCATATATCTAAAAATATTCAATAAATATCCAAATTCCATCTTACAATGACAATTTAAATATTTTATTGGCAAAATAGGACTTGTTTTAACAAGTTTCAAAGTTAAAAAGATGAAAAAAAATATGATAAATATTAATTATAATGTCTGAAGGTTGACTATACAACTTTTAATTAACATTATGAAACTTAAAATATTTAGTATGAAAAGGTGAATGAACTAGAAACAAAACATACTTAATTTGAAGATATTCCCCGATGATCCCAGAGGATAGATACAAAACAATGGCAATCATCATTACAGCCTGACTAAGCAGACCAAAGCGTGACTGATGTAGCTGTGAGGTATTGACAGAATTTGTTGGCAGGAATAACTATAAACAAAAAAAAATATTGTAGAAAGAAAATTAGCAATATAGCATCATAAAAAAATAACAACTATTTTTTTTTTTTTATTCAAATAAATATGCTATTTCATGCTTTTTCAGAAGGGGTAGGAAGGGAAGGGGTTTACCTGAGAGGCTGGGCAAGTAGGTAGTAATATTAATGTGCAATTTCACCAAAAATTCATCTATCTTAAACTTTGCATATGTTTGTGATAAATCCTATTGTCTTCATCAAACAAACATTATTAAACAGCAGAAATTTTGCAAACATTGTAATCAATCAGTCCAGAAATTAGTCATAAAAGAAACTGTGAAGAAAATGTATGGCCTCTACAATATTTGTCATTATGACCGTTTTAATAGAAAAATAAAATGATAAAAAAGGGAAAAGAAAATGAAGTTTTTGGTATACTAGTTTTGCATGAATTTTGGAACGCATATTTGGTTATCGTGATTGAACACCTCTCTAATAACCTGATACAACCCTAAAATGAAATAATGGAGTACATGAACAACCTCAGTGCTCAAACCACGCAGTGAAGATGACCCAAATGTTTGGGTTGAAACGTTGGCAAAAACAAAATTTTTTTAAAAAAGACTGCGTCCTGAATATTTATCACCCCTAAAATGAAATACAATCCCGACACAACCCCTTGTGAAATTTCCTTATTCCTTAAATGCGAGATGGTATTTCGGAGGCAACATATAGGGTGAGGTTGAGGCCATCAAGATGATAAGCACAGCATTAGGGGAGAAAAGATGCCTGAGATATATCTTGAAATAAACTATAACATTAATAGAATTTCATTTAAAATTGGGAAAATGTAGATAACTTTTATAAAAGATAGTTTTTTACCCCTTTTTTGCAATTGAACTGAAGATCCCAATCATATATATATCCAATACATAGTTTTTGACAATGATTAAGATCATTAACAAAAATTTAATACTAACACCTCCCTCCCAAAAGATCGAAGAATGCTATAAAACTGAAAATTTATGTGATGGCAAATTTTGAATATAGCTTTTTAGATATCAATTACAAAAAATATTAACATCAAAATGTCCCTAATTTCACAAAATAAACCATATACTGAAAAAGCAATAACATAAATAGAACAAAAGATATAGTTTGTCAATGATTAGTTAGCTGCCTTAGGATGAATTTCATGTGGCACTAATAAGGGGAGGCTACAGTCAGTTGGTCATCGATTTCAACCAAATATTTTTTGGTGATACTACATCGAAAAATATTCGACACATATCCCAGCGTTCGTTCCAATGGGACATAAGAGCCAAGAAAAAAAATTTATATAATCTCAAACAAAAATTTTTATTCATAATAGTGGTTAAATAGTTGACTGTCGTGAATAATGAGGAGAAGAATAGGTGGGGTGATCAGTCAAATAAGAAGACAAAAATAAATGATAATATTTATTTTTTCATTTGCCGACGTTTCGACCTGAAGTTCAGGCCATCAACTTCTGAACTAAAGTTCTGGTGATGGCCTGAACTTCAGGTCGAAACGTCGGCAAATGAAAAAATAAATATTATCATTTATTTTTGCCTTCTTATTTGACTGATCACCCCAACTATTCTTCTCCTCAAAACTTGTTATTTATTTTTGCCTTTGCTTTGACCAGATTGTTAGGGTATGTATATATCAATCAATTTTTTTTTTATTGTGCAGAATAGGAAAAAAATATTGACTATTGTATTAAATGAGAGATAAAGTATCATAAATTACAAAAACTAAAAGGAGGTTCTAGTAAAGCAGGCCAAATAAATTTTTATCATGAAGAAGAGAGTCAGATGCATTTTTGGTGTCCTTTCAAACTCTTAAATACGAATTTTTATAGAAATAAAAAATTGCAACACTTAATACTATATTTTCTTAGAGGATTTTTTTTCTGGCCGATAACTAAAGCAATCATAACTTCTATATAAATATTCTGTTTATAGAACCAAATAATATTTAAAATACATAAAATTTAATTTTCACCAGAAAGAGCCCTCAATTTACATAAGAATGCATAGTAATTAAATGAGGAAAACAAAACAAAACATGTTTTACTAGGCAATGTAAATTTGGGGAAGACCTCGTATAAGAAAAAGCAAGAGAATAAGATTTTCTGAATCACTTTCCCTAACAAACATAAAGGGAAATTTTCATCATAAATTTAGTTTAACAGGGTCTTCCTTGTTGTAAACAAGGCTCATAAACAGAAATAATTAAATGCGAAAGTGCCTTATGAGCTATGAAAACTATGGGCCTTGACAGAACTGTGGTTTGGATATATTTTCATAGAGGAGACTAGGGTAATCATCATTTATAGTAAACGTTCTGGGATCAACTCAATACAGATCTTATAGCATGTTTTCCTAACAACATATTGCAATTGTCGAACAAACTGAATTTTCAGAACCAACTGTATTATGTCAGTAGACAGTTTTTCTAAGAACCGTATATGGTCGCAATATTCTTTCATCATTTGTAAATTTAAAGTGGTTGAAAAGATAAAAATGCAGTACTTAAGAAAAGTAAACTTGCATTATTACATTAAATGATATTGAAGAAATATATGACGATAGTAGCAGTTATCTTATAATTAATTACGAAAAAATTCTCATCAGTGAAATATTATCTTCAAGAAAAAGTTAAGGAGTTTTTTATTTATTAATTCAAAACTATTGAGAGGACAGCAGAGTTAAATTTAAGCAGTATTTTAATTTACACCAGAGCAGATCTTGTTTCTTTTTGATCTCACAGAAGATGATGAGCCCAATAATACTTGCAATTAAGTGAAAATATCAATAATAGCTGATAAAAAATTTGGTTTCACTTTAAGGAAACTAGCGTACAAAAGTTAAAAAGAATACTTTTTAAACAGTATAAAATAATTTGGAAATAATTTAGTTTGTTTAAAAAACAACATAAAATTGAATACTAATTAAAAATTATAATTATAATATATAATACACATATCGATGGTCAAGCTCACACATGTGAGTGCAAATATTAGTTTAGTTTAAATATTACATTATAGTTTCATTAATCAAATATTATACTTTAATAAATATATATTTCAAACAATAATAATAATTATGTAAGATTTATAAAGATTTGATGAACTTTACAGAGTCTATAATGTGAACCACCTCATGACCGAAAAGGAATAGACTGATCCTAGAGCAGTAATGATTAAACCAAATTAAAAAGAAAACAGTACAAAGGTTCTCAATTATACTAGTATTCCACCATTATAACTTCCACAATTCATGTTGCACAACTGCGCTGCAAGGAAAATACACCTTTAAACTAATAGATGACAGGAAAATGATCTACACTACACTAGTCAGTCAAAATTAAAAACAAGTATGCACATATTATTTCACACTCTAACATTGGAACTTTTCAAATGAAAATAAATACCTGACCATGCCCATCTCTAAATAATCTCCTAGTTTCATCAGTTCTGCCACAATGCAAACATTCTTCTATCAAGAAACCGCCTCTAACCTGCAACAGACTCTGATTAGGAATAAAAAGATATAAAAATAATATTCTTGCAAAAAAGTAAAATAAAATAATAATGATAAAAGGCTTAGCGAGCCCGAAGGTTTGATGCCAACACCACCAATCGCTTATTTATTACACACCTCCTTCCACTATTCGCCATCCAAACCCAGTCCCTTCAGATCGGCTGTAACACAATCTTCCCACCTTCGTTTCGTTCTACCCCTCGGACATTTACCATTTGGTACAGCAAATATTAACCTTTTAGGAATTCTTTTGTTAATAAGCCCAACAATTTTCCAAGCCCATTTGATTCGCTGCAATGTAATCACCTCAATTATATTAACCGGAAACAGTTTACACAATTCAGCGTTGTGTAACTGTCTGGACTCTCCGGTTAACTCATCCTTTCTCGGTCCAAATATTCTACGCAATACTTAATTTTCAAAAGCCTTTTGATGTTGCACACCTCTTAATGTAAGTGGCCACGTTTCGCATCCATAAAGAACTGTAGGTACAATAATGGTTTTATAGATTATAGTTTTTAAGTTCCGGGACAAGAGGCGTGAGCTAAGTAGTTTTGTCTCAGAAAAATAACAAGCATTTCCCGCCTTTAGACTAACTTTAATCTCCAATTGTAGCTTAACCTTCACCTCACCTTTATTTCATTATTTTCACCTTAATCTAACTTTATCCTCATTGACTACAATCACCAACCAACTTTTCAACTATAATAAACCATTTTTTTTAAGAAGTTGGTCGTGGGTGCGATCAAAATATATATGTATATATATTATAGTAGTATTTCATTGCGTTTACCAACATTTCGAGCTACATAGTACATTGTTTGAAGCAACAATAACAAGAAGCAAAATGTGTACAAGAGAAAGAATCATCACTTATACTAAATTTCTTATCACGAAATCAGAACAAAAATAAACTACAAAGGAATTTAAAAGTTTTGACTTAGTTCAAAACTCCAATTTCCTTAGATGAGAAAATTGCAGAAAAAAATACCCAACCTGTGTTAGGGGCAAAACTCAAAACCGACAAAACTGCAGCTAAACTCACAGGTGCCACAGATATAATTTATCTGTACATAAAATGTATAAAAACTAGAGATCGGCCGATATTGAAATTTTGGCCAATACCGATATTAAAAAGGCCGATATGGGCAATATATCGGAATTTTTTTTACCTTTTTCTCAAGGTTTGTACAGTTTCACATGGAAACCCAGCTTATTGCTAAGTAAAAAAATAAATACATCATCGCCCTTTAAGCAAATTTGTACTGATAAAACAGAGACAAACCTATATTTCAGCATATCGGTCTTTCGTCTATATATGTCTGGTTTCATACAACATCGCATAGAAAGTTCTAGTAATTACTGAATAGAAGTATCAATCTATCATCCAGGGCTAGATCTATATACACACTTCAGCCGACACCAATATTCTAAAAACCGATATACAAACACATATTTTTTTTTTTGATTCTTCTAAACCCAAAATTTATTCTAAATGGTATAAATTCTAACGACCTTATTTTATCAAGGTTCATAGTTGGAATATTATTTTTATACTATTGTTGATAATATTTTTTTCGGTCCATCCCATGGACCGATATATCAGCCTTTTGACCTTATTTTATCATGATTCATGTAGTTTCACTTGGAATATTAGTTATACTAATAATAAATTGGGCCAACTAATCGATTTAAACATAAATTTGAGTAAAGACCAATATATCGGCCTTAAGATTTAATTTTATTGAGATTGGTAGAGTTTAATAATTTTTATTTTGTGCTTGTCATTTTTCAAATTATTTTGGGTCCATCCCATGGACCAATATATCGACCTTTTCACCTAATTATATCATGATTCATGTAGTTTCAATTTGAATATTATTTATACAGGTAATAAATGGGTCATTTAATCGCCATGGAATCGATATAAACATAAATGTGATTAATGACCTATATTATATTAATATTTGAATGAAATGAATGAATGAAAATAATTTTATTATTCTGGGACTAGTGTCCCTTTAGAACAAGTCACAAATACAGAATATATATTAATATTTTGGTGTGTCCATGAAATACAATTTAATATTTAAGGTTGATTCGGAATACAATAAAGTTATAAATGATAAAAAGATATAAATACGTGTAAATATAAAATATACAGAGAAAGTAAACGAAATATCGATGAATTACAAAATAATCAGAGTATCTGGGTGTACTTTGAGGTTTTTACAGCTTAGGTTTTTAAGTGCATTTCGTGATCAATCGGATTGGGAATGGAGTAGGTGTTCGAAGAGGAGAGATTTGAAAGAGGATATCGATTTTGCGTGTCGAATATCTGAAGGTATAGAGTTCCAGAGGGAGACAACTTGTATTAAAAAGGATTTATCAAACGCAGCAGTTCGGTGAGGAGGAGGATAGAGGTCGGACGCACGGGATCTGGTGGGACGGGATTGAAAGGAGCGTTTGAATTGTAGGATCTGTAGAATATAGGCAGGTCGCCGTTTTGTAATGGCTCGGTATAAGAAGGTAGCCAGGAAATATTGACGGCGGTAGGACGGATAAAGCGACTTCAACTTGGTGTAGAACTGGGTAATATGCGTATCTCTTGAGATCCCGAAGATAAAGCGGATTGAGCAATTCATTAAACGTTTAAGTTTAAATATTAACTATAAATATTAATGTTACTGCACATTTTTTATTTTTAATATAAACCTATATTGGCTACAGTATTCACTCCTATAAATGAGAATACTGTTGTATTTACAGGTTTGAATAACAATATTTTAAGATTCATTAGTAGTGAATTTAAGAATTACATTGGAGGAAGATTATTGATAAAACAATTTAATAATGGTAATTACTCTGGAGAAAAATGAATGAAGGCTAAGAAAAGAAAATCAAGAACAATTATGTTTTTAGGGATAAAATATCTATATATTTTTTCTTGACACATGCTTACATTTTGCTGTCATAATTTAAAAATAATAAATATTTTAATTTAATTTTTCATGTACATAGTACAGATTACACACAGAAATAAATATACATCTAAGAAAAAATAAAATTATGTTACTATATTAGAGGGCAACAGCACTAAAGTATTGGTATTATTCCCCATCAATTGTATTTAAATATATGATAAAGAATATTGTTATATTTACATAAAATGATGAATAAATATTCTTCTTTATTTATAAAATATTTATTTTCTCTCAAATTTACAAGTCTCAATACATATATTTGTAATTTTATTCCCTTCTGTAAATACGACAATGGTTGTATTTACAGGTGAGGTAAAGAATATGGTTATATTCACATGAAAGTATGACCAATTTTCTCAATTAATAAAATTTAAAATAGACGTAATAAAGAATATTGTCCCATTCACATAATGTTACGAGTAAATATTTTTATTAATTAGTAAACAACCTTTGAGCAGTTTAATTATCGCAATATTTTTCCTTTGAAATCGTAAAGGTTATTTGGCTTCTTTATGATGAAAATACCACATATTTCTAAGAGAGTCCAGACAGGGAAACAGGTATAGGATGTCTGGTGACATAGCATTCATTGTTGGACATGTACATGTTCATAGATTTCAGAAACTATTAATTTTTGCAAATTTAGTATTTATTATTAATTTGAATAAAAAGAAATATTTTATAAATAACGAAAAAAATCTTATCATAATTTTATGTGAATATAACAGTGTCCATTATCACTATAAATACAAGTGTATGCATTACGAAAGGCATGTATCTTGATGCTAATATCTGTACTCAGAACAGTAAATTTGCCATAATATAAATATTTAATTAAGTCTATTTATACATATTTTTACATGAAAATAACAATATTCTTTACCATACCTGTAATTACTACTGCAATTCTGTAATACATATTCATTCACAGGATTGAATACGACAGCAAATATATGTATTTAAACTTACATTACACAGAACATTTCCTAGGATCAGGCCGTGCATCTCATTTCAAGGACCATTTAGAAATTTCTTCCTACCCATATAAAGATATTACCATAAAACTCATACACGCTGTGTCTAAAGTGAAAAAAAAAGTGGATTATCTTAAAAATGCAGGAATCTAAAAAAAAAAAAAATGGAAAAACAACGTATATTGCTTGAATGTTAATAATATTCAATTTAAGGATTCTGTAATCATTCAAATAGTAGCGGCTAATGGAAGCAAGACAGAGAGAGAAGGGGGGGGAGCCCATTTGTAAAATAGTTGTATATTTTTACCCTTCATCTGACAAGCAGAAGAGAAGGACTGTCATAAATTACGTGACAATTAGATTTTATTTAATGTATTAAATTGTTGTTTTCATTCATTTTATAGATTGATTTGTAAATTTTGCTTTTTATAGTTGCTCATTTTTATATCTTATTCGGCCTGATGAAGGACCGAAACCGTAAGTATTATTTACAGGAAGACGTCTTTTAACTGAATTTAATTTCTCTTTTGTAACATCAACCCTCAATTCAAGAAAAAAGATAAACTACAATAATAAGGAAGTTATATAACCTATGCCATTAAAACAAGAAATTTCCATCATTAGAAACATATTACCAGTTGCTAAGCTTTTTTTTTTTTTTTTTTTTTTTTTGGCAACTGTTGACCAAAAATATTATATATAATTCAAGTAAAGAAAAAATCGGTACTTGTATAATAGCGGGTAGCATCAAAACCTCCCTAGTTAACTAATCTTATTTCACATAATCTCCCTCATCTCCTCTAACCAAGTTATTCCTTTGTTTATTTTTTGTTCCTCACTATTTTAAATACCATAAAACTATTTTCCCTACCAAAATAAATTAAGTTAAAATAAAATTGTTCATATTTTGTTTTTAGTGTTTATATCATTTCTTTTATATGTACATATGTTCTTTATAGTCTTCATAGTGTTTCTTTTATATGTACATATGCTGTTTAAGTGTTTTTTTTATTATTTCATTTATTTTTATATATATGTTGCAATGTTTTTTAATTATATATGTATAATGTTTTGGTCTATTTAATATACATCTAGTAAAATAAAAGTATTTTTTTTATTATTACATTTGTTTTTGTTCACAATTTCAATAATATCAATACAATACAATAAATATGAATATTAAGATATAATAATATGAATATAACACAATAAATATGAATAGGAACAGGAAAAAAAAATTAAATAAAATTTTTCCAAGTCTACCAATCTTAATAAAATGAGGTATATCGGTCTTTGTTTACATTTATTTTTATGCACACCCATCGACGTTTGATTGACACATATATTAATAATAAATATAGTATTAATATGAAACAGGCCGATAAATCGGTAAAGTAAAACTCACTCTTTAGGATATCCGTATCTCATGTAAATCTGGGGAGAGAATGAGAAACAAAATAAATAAAAGTTCTGATTTCACCAATCTCAATAAAATAAAGTCAAAAGGACGATATATCGGCCTTTGCTCTAATTTATGTTTATGCAGACCTGTTGATGTTTGATGTTTTTTTTTTTTTTGCTCTTCCCTATCTCGTCATTTAGGCTATACGGGATTTTCCCGGGCCGGGGGGTGAGGGCGGGGAATTTAAAATCCCCTTCGGCACCGGGACGCGAACTCGTACTTTTTATATCATCTCAAATCTCTGTTATCCGGTTGCCAGGCAACTAGCGGTGCTGTGCACACGCTTTAGCCTATTCGGCCACCCCGCCCCCGATGTTTGATTGATACATTTGTTATTAATAAAAATAATATTCAAAGTGAAAGAGGATGATATACCAGTAAAGTAAAACGCAATCTTTAGGATATCCCTATCTGATGAAATCGCCAGAATGAGTAAAAAAATAAATATAAAAAAAAAATGCAAAGTTACCAATCTTAATAAAACATGGTCACAAGGCCGATATACCGGTCTTTGCTTAAATTTATGTTTATGTTGATCCCTTGATGAATTATTGACATATTTACTAGCAATAAAAATAATATTTAATGTGAAAGAGGCCGATATATCGGTTCAAGGGGATGACAAGAAAATTTGGAAATGTTGAAAAGAAAAAAATTAATAAAATAAAAAGTTCTAACTTTACCAATCTCAATAAAGTAAGATCGTAAGGCCTATATATTGCTCTTTGCTGAATGATTGACACATAAAAATAATATTTGATGTGAAAGTGGACGATATATCGGTAAATATAGGATATCCGTATCTGTTGAAAATCTGGGGAGAGAATAAGCAATAATAAAAAAAATCTGGTCGAGCATCACACGACTTTCACTTACCACCCTTTTCTTGGCAGAAATAAGTATTTTCAGACAAAGGGGAAGTGAAAGTAAAAATTATAGAAGTTATATTTATTTACATTTCGTTGTGGGTACTTTTATTTGCTTAAATACCCTTATACAGACAAATTGTAATTTTTATATCACTGTATTCTATACAATTAAATATTAAATAACAGCAACGATAACATTTATGAAGCTCATGTTACGTACATATGGAAGCTCATATTTCTTTGATTCCTCTATTACAACTATAATCCGTTTCGATCTCTTATTCTTCCTTTAGTTAATTATCAAATTCTTTCATATTTTATATTTAAATATTTTTTATATCAAAAATTAGTGTGAAATGATTAATTATTTCAAAAAAAAAAATTAAAGGTACTTAAGAGGAAGCTAATATTGAAAATTAGCCATTTGAATCCTGTTAAAAAACATCAATGAGAATAAAACCTACATGATAGTAAAAAGTGCTTAACAATACACAGATATACTGAGTATAATCAAAATCGTTAGAGCGGTTTTTGAGAAAATCATAAAAATTAGTTAAATCGATTACATAAAGTACCACTTCCAGTTTGCCGAAAATGTTGCTGTAACATCCAAGGCTTATAAAAACCTCAAATACACAATTTCAGTTTCATACGACTTTTCGTTTTTGAGCTAGGCTGTTCACATAAACACACAAACACAAGATATTTAAAGTGTACTGTAAATGATTAGTTACAATTTTAATCGGTATGTTATCCTATTGAAAAATTATTTCTTCTTCTTCCAACATTGTAATAAACGACAAAAGAAACCCTTTAAAACATTTTGATAACTAACAGCATCCATTTTGCCAGAAATTAATGCAACTTGAGACTTTCTTTTTCATTAAAAGCCTCAGCTTAAACCATTACTCTACCATACCAATGCAGTCTTCGACACATTTTTTTTTCTTTTCTAAGACCATGCCAGTAGTAATTAAAACCATTTAGACCATCAATGTTAATTTTTTTTTCATCACTGAAAATAACGCTTGACCATTTTTTGCTATCTTGAATATGTATTTCAGCAAACAGCAGTCGTTACAGCAAATGATGTTTTTTGGGCTATGATTTTTTCATAATCTTATAATATTTTAAGAAATTTGATTCAGCTATCACCCTTCCTTCCATCACATCTTAAATTGAATCACCTCATGGTCTGTGCAGAGGATGCTACTGTTTTTGAGATTTTTCTCAAAACCAGCCTCTGTTTCACATGATTGTAAAATTTTGGAGGTCTTCCACTTCTTGTCTTTTTCCCATAACAGTCTAGGTTGCAATTTAAAAGTATTTGATTACTCTCTGGGAGCTGTTTAATTTGCCTCTGGGTCATCTCCTCTCTTCTTAGGTCAATTATCTTTGCTGCTCAATTTCAGTGATTTGAGTTCCACACGGCACTATTTTAAAAACAGACTAATTCACACAAAGCTATACAGTATAAAAAATGAAACGATATACTCTCTTTAACAGCTGGAAGAAAATTGAGGTAGCATTGATCCATTAATACACCTGACAATTGAAAACATTGAGTTTATACTTATTCACAGCGTAAACAAGATTTTTTTACAAAATCTGATGTTCGTAAATTATTAAACAGGCCAATGAGCATTTAAAGCTTCTTACCAATCTAATAACAAGTCTAAAAACATTATTGTTCTATGAATTTACTTATAAATTTTACAAATACTTCAATTTTTTAAGTTGAGTTTATATTTTTTCACAAGACTGTATACATTTACATAACAAATATTTTACACCAACAACTCACATAATTAATTCTCTTGACAAAACTGTTGAAATTAAAGAAAAAAGTAAAGAATACAATTTAAAACTTAAAACTAAATAAGAGGGGAAAAGGAATTAATAAATAATTTAAATACAATACGTACCTTGAAAAATACTTCTACTCCATAAATTAGAAAAAATACCACAACTATTAACAGCAAAAATGCATAGCAAGTGTTGAAGATGAGGATACAATACCCCTGGAAAAAAAAATCTATGAACAGCGATGTTATCAGTTATTAAATCACAAAACAAGACAAAGTTTGTAGAAATATTAATAATAAAAACATTTCTCAACTAATCAAAACATTTTTCCAATAAGCTTTTATATTTTCTCTCTCTCTCTCTCTCTCTTCTCCCAAATAATCTAGAGTTTGGATAAGGGAAAAATAAAGAATAGCATAAAAAAAAAAAAAAAAAATGTAAATATTCCTAACATCCAACATGACAGAGGAAATCCGATGGATATATAAACAGGATATCACAGTTAATTTTCCATCCCCCACACTTTAAATTCTTGAATGTTTAGAATATCATAAGGAACTTTGGAGGATCTAAATTGAGTAACTTGAAGGTTGTTTAAGGAATACTGCCAACTTAGTTACATGCCAGAGTTCCTCCAACTCAAACTGTACAATTCTCATTGGATTTTATTTTATTCTAATAGGAATGGAAATTTTAGGACTAATTTGTAGCAGGCACTTTTATGATCTGAGGCTGCCAAAAATTAAATAATTCAAACATGCTTTTTATACAAAGAATAAGTTCCAAATTTCATTTAGTATAATTCAAAATCAAGGGAGTTAATCCAACATTATGAAAAAGGGATCTTCAGAATTAACAATATTTTTTTTTTTCTGACAGCATTACAGATCTTGAAGATCTTTTGTAGCCTTAACAAGCCTACTCCATCTCTACATACCTTGGGCTATTTCTCTCCAGTTATCTGCATGGAGCTCTATTGCATCTTTGTTAATTTGTTCTACCCACAATTTGAACATCTACATGGTCTTCTGCCTACTATACCGAGGCATCCCAGTGCGAGCAGGTGAAACTCCCGCAGCCCTAGTAACGGAGCCGGTTTGGGAATTAGGCTGAATGTTGAGGGCTAGGACACCGTGCAGAGGCACAGGACTAGAAAAGAATACCCACAGCCAACACCAATCATCTTGCACTTTGTTAGAAAATCAGTGAGGGACGACTTTGTTTAAAGAAGAAAGGTCAAGAGGGATTTCTCAACACGCAATATCAGGTGGCAGGAAAATGACTGCCATCCAATTTATCTAAGCGAGGAGATGACCCCGACAAATAGGCACCTCTACTGGCTTGCTCGAAAAAAAAAAAAGGCCGCAGGAAAAATAAAATACGTCTGGTTCGCGGCCGGAAATGTGCGGTGCCAAAAAGGGGACGACCATCAAGTGGTATTCATCAACCGAGCTCAGGATCTGGATGTCTTTGTCTGACTGGCTGAATTTCGTCTACTCTTTGCCATCAAGCAAAAAGTGGGCATCTCTACTGGACATACGTTGAAAATATCGAATTCAATACCATGTTATCTGGACTCTTTCTTTCTTTCTATTGATTTTCAGTTTTGTATTTTTACCCGGAATTTCTTCTCTTTAATTTATTTTTCTTTCTTTTACCTTAATTTATACCATAGTTCACTTTTTGTATCGTATATAATCCAGTGTCTTCCTATCATATATCATATCCTATACCGATTGATCTCTCCTAAAACCAGTACATGTCTAGTGTCTTAACTGCTTGTCATGTTAACTCCCAATCCCTTCTAGCCCATTACGATGAATTCTGACAATATTTCACTCAACAATTTTTTACCATATTATAGCAATTTCTGAAACCTGGCTCAAGCCCTACATCCCGTCCTCCGCTGTCTTCCTGCCTAACTACGAGTTAATCCACCATGACGGGGGGAAAGCCAAGCCGGACTGGTGGCGGTGTAGCTATGTATGTCCACGAAAGCCTCAAGACCCGAATACTTCACTGTTCTCCATCCAATCACCAACAAACCGAATTCCTTATTCTTGAGATTTCCTGTAATTCCTCTCCTCTCCTATATACCGTAATATATCGCCCTCCTCAAGTTACCTTTGATCCGTCTTTTGAATCATCCCTCTTCAAATTTGTTCCCCTTTATTCCAAAATTATCGTTTCCCGTGACTTTAACACTAATTTCCTTTCTGACTCCTACGATAAATCATACATACAAAACCTTTTCTTTGCTCTTCATCCTTTCATCGTTCCCTTTCCTGCTGGTTAGTATCTAGGTATCACAGCCCTATATCAGAACTGGCTTTATTATAACATTGTACACCCTTAATTGGAAATTTCTTTAAATTTCAATACTGTAGAAAGAAAATAGAAAGCTCTGTTTTGACTTGTTGTATGCTAGTCTATTTCCGATCGTTGGTCGAGGTTATTGTGGAGTCAAGTTATTTGAATTTTTCTACTCTCAGGAACAATTTCCCTTCAACACAGATCCTGTTACTGGGATTGCATTTTCGGCTTATTATCATATATTTAGTTTTATCATCATTAACTTGTCAACCAATTAGCTCTGCTTTTCTTATCAGAGTCTTAGCGGTTTTTCTAAATGTCCTCTTGATTGCTTCCATGGGTCGCTATATTGTCTGCATATACAAGGATTTTATGATTCATTCAGATGTGCATTCCTCCATTTTCATGAAATGTTATTCTTATCATCTTCTTCAGTGCTAAGTGGAACAATTAACAATCATAAAAAAGTTAAATACATAAAAAAAATCAGCAGTAATAAAGGATTTAGAAAAAATCTGCATGAACTGATTTGGTTCAGAGGATTGCCTCGGAGAGAGGATGATTGCTTGGTGAAGTAAATGTTGAAGAACAAGTGATTCATGGGACATGTGTATGAGCTCACTGAAAGAGAAGCTGGGGTCAGAGAGTCTATAAGAGTGCCAGTCGGATTCTCAACTTTGAATAAAATTACTAGCTCCTTCCCTTTCTTCCCTCCATATAAGGAAGTGAAGAACTAAAATATTTATTCACTGATTGCCTATGACTATCATCATCATCATCATCATATGTGGCACAACATCCCGTTACCGAGACTGGGCCTCCTCCAAGAGCCTCCGCCAGTTGGCTCTGTCTTCTGCTGCAGCTCTCCAGTTCCGTACACCAAGCAGGGTTCTCGCATCATAGGCCACGTTGTCCAACCATCTCGTCCTCGGCATTCCTACCCGTCTTACGAGATGCAGCTCCTCCATCATTATTTTCTTTGGTATTTCAACGGTGCTCATTCTGGCCACATGCCCTGCCCACCTTAGTCTGGCCAGTTTAATATACGTGACTACGTCGATGTCTGTATAGAGAGAACTGAGCTCCCTATTTTTTCTTTTCCTCCAGACATCACCCTCCTTTACTGGACCATAAATCCTTCTGAGGACTCCTCGCTCAAACACACTCAGCTTCATCTCATCCTTTTTAGTCATCGTCCAAGCCTCTGAGCCATATGTCAAAACAGGCCGAACAAGGGTCTTGTATATGATCAGCTTGGTCTTCTTTGAGAGGTACCTACTTCTTAAGTGTCGGCCAAGTCCAAAGACACATCTATTGGCAGCCGTGATCCTTCTTTGTATTTCTTGAGCCATGTCATTTTTGCTATTAATTTCAGACCCAAGGTATATAAAACTTTTCACTCTCTCAAACTTAAAAGAACCTACCTCAAATGGAGAGTTCAGATCCACCTCACCACCAACTCTCATATACTTAGTTTTCCTCTCGTTGACTTCTAGACCAAGTGGTCTTGCAGCTGCTTCAAGGCCTATAAACGCTTCTCTGAGAGCCCGTTCAGACCTACCTATTATGTCAATATCATCAGCAAAACCAAGAAGCTGTGTCAGGCGATTGAAGATTATATCGTTGGTCTGAATACCGGAGTCTCTTACAGCTTTCTCCTCTGCCAAGTTGAACAATAGACAGGCGAGGGCATCCCCTTGCCTAACCCAGTTTTGGGCATTTACTCGAGTAAATGTCGAGCAGTGACGTCACGAGTGATCACTCTTGGAAGCTTAGCCATGAGTAATTTTGAAAATTACTCGTGAAATATTTTTCCTTCATGAGTAAATCACTCGTGAAAAATGTTTCTCCATGAGTAAATTACTCATGAAAAATTTTAACGCCATGAGTAATTTTGAAAAAAAAAATGTTTTTATTTTATTTAACCTAATTTTTTTTTCACCTTTCCGATTTATTCGATATCGGGGTCGTCGTATATGTTTTGGGGGGGCGCTTTTTATGGAAATGTTATCCAATTTGAGATTGGGACCCCCGGGCCTCGACTTTTTTTAACTTTTCGGATTAAATCGATATCAGGGTCGACTTATAGGTTTTGGGGGGGCTCTTTTTATGAAAATGATATCGAATTTGGGATTGGGCCCCCCGGGCCTCGACTTTTTTAAACTTTTCAGATCAAATCGATATCAGGGTCGTCTTATAGGTTTTGGAGGGCACTTTTTATGAAAATGATATCCAATTTGAGATTGGGCCCCCCCGGGCCTCGACTTTTTTTAACTTTAGGGATTAAATCGATATCAGGGTCGACTTATAGGTTTTGGGGGGGGCTTTTTATGAAAATGATATCCAATTTGAGATTGGGCCCCCCCGTCCCCGTTTTTTTTTAACTTTTGGGATTAAACCGGGGGCCCCAATCTCAAATTGGATATCATTTTCATAAAAAGCGCCCCCCAAAACCTATAAGTTGACCCTGATATCGATTTAATCCCAAAAGTTAAAAAAAAACGGGGGCGGGGGGGTCCAATCTCAAATTGGATATCATTTTCATAAAAAACGCCCCCCAAAACCTATAAGTCGACCCTGATATCGATTTAATCCCAAAAGTTAAAAAAAAACGGGGGCGGGGGGGTCCAATCTCAAATTGGATATCATTTTCATAAAAAGCGCCCCCCGAAACCTATAAGTCGATCCTGATATCGATTTAATCCCAAAAGTAAAAAAAAGTCGAGGCCCGGGGGGCTCAATCTCAAATTGGATATCATTTTCATAAAAAGCGCCCCCCCAAAACCTATAAGTCGACCCCGATATTGAATAAATCGGAAAGGTGAAAAAAAAATTAGGTTAAATAAAATAAAAACATTTTTTTTTTTCAAAATTACTCATGGCGTTAAAATATTTCATGAGT